GGCGCTCCATTTCCAGAATCAAATGCAAACCATCTACAAGCCGCTGCTTTACAGAGGCTTTTGGTGTGGATTGACGACGTGATCGTGTACGGCACTACGAAAGCATTGTTTTGTTCGGACCTGAAAGAGTTCTATAAACTGACGGAGAAACATCGATTGAAGCTAAATACGAAGAAAAGCGTGTTGCTCAGCTATGAAGTGAAGTGGTGTGGGCGTATCCTTGATGGGGAAGGTGTACGCCATGACCCAGACCGTCTCTCAGCATTGGTGGCATTGCCACTGCCAAGAACGGCAGCAGATCTTCAACTGTTCTTTTGCGCGTGCAATTGGATTCGTGAGAGTGTGGTGGATTATGCCAGAGTGACTGAAGTGCTTCAAGACAAGTTGAACGCAGTGCTCGCTAATCGTTGTCGTACGAAGCGATCAGCAGCGGCGGTTCAACTTTAATGGCTTGATGAAGAGCATGCAGCGTATTATGCTACTCTTCGCTCCATTGCATCGTCGGCTAAGCAATACTATCCGGAAGAGAAGGCCCATGCATCTGATGGTGGGTGGGCAATTATTGTCACTCAAGTGCGCCATTGCCAGCCATCCGACTGGCCAAGATCATGAGCTGTTGATTTGTCAAGGCGGGATCTTCAGAGGAGCGCAACTACACTGGTATGTAGTCGAGAAGGAAGCCTACCCTGTGGTTCGAGCCTGCGTCTCGCTGGATTACCTCTTGGAGAGAGAAGGAGGTTTTCAGATCTACCGCGATCACAAGAACCTGGCGCAGATTTTTAGTCCTACCGACGATATCAAGAACCTCACGCGTGGCAAACTCCTGCGATGGGCTCTACAAATTTCAACCATGAGATTCACTATCGAGCACATTGAGGGTGTGAAAAATGTCTGGACTGACATTGTTTCGAGATGGACGGCGCCAATCACCCGCCAGAGATCTGTGTTTGAGTTGCTCGTGTGGATGAAAAAGACACCGTGTCACAGCTGTGGCCTCTCCAAGACGATAGGTTCTTATGGCCAAGTGTTGAACATATCATTTCGGCGCAGGAGAAGGACCCGATCGTTGGTCTCGAACTTGGGGATAACGGCCTGTATCTGAAAGAAAACAAAGTGTGGATTCCTCCAGAGTCGGAAGAACTTGTGGCTCGTATCTTCACGGTTGCACATTGTGGTGTTCGTGCTCACCGTGGGCAGATGCCATGTTCTTGGTGTTGAATCGCGAGTTTGCAATGAAAATCTGCGGTCCAAGGTCGAGAAATTCGTGAGCCGTTGTCTATTGTTTAAGCATGTAAAAGGAAGCATGCTCATTCAACGCCCATGGAATTCCACACATACAGCTACTCAAAGAAACGAACTTCTCCACATGCACCTTATACATGGGAGAAAGTTTCGGCAGCGCCAAGTATGTGCTGGTCATGAAAGATGACCTCTCACATTATTGCGAACTTGCTTCAAGCGAGAGTGCCAGTGAGCTGGTGGCGGCATCCGCGGTGTTAGATTGGTACAAGAGGTTTGGGCTCCCGCAGACCTGGGTCTCAGACAATGGGTCTCATTTCCGCAGCACAGTGATGGAGGATTTACGGACCAGATTGGGCGCCCATCAACGATTCGTGTCAGTCTACACTCCGTGGCTGAATGGGACTGTCGAGAGAGTAAATCGGGATATCCTTCAAGTGGTGCGAGTATTGTTACTGGAGTATCACCTCGATACTCGGAATTGGGAGTATCTGCTTCCAGTAATTCAAGCCAACTTGAATCAGACTCCAGTAAAATCCTTGGCTGGGAAGGCGCCGGTGGAAGTGTTCTCGGGACTGGAAAGAGAACAAGTCATTGGAGTGCTGATTGTACCGAAGAAGGGGAAGGAGAACACGAGAGTGGATATTCAGAGCATCGAAAAGTATTCAAGCGAGTTGGAAACATTGAGACAGAGCCTGATGATTCTACACGAAGAGGTGGTTGATGTGAAAGAGCGACGCCAATTGCTCCAGAGTGCTGCAAAGAGGGGGCAAGTGTGCACGTTCACGGTGGGAGATTATGTGCTGTGGTCGAGAGCGGA